GCGAGCGGCTCTATCAGCACCATCGGACAGTGATGAAACGCTGGGCTTTACACAGAGCAGAGGTTCCTCCCTGAAGGAGACCTGTGTCCACATGCCGGCCATGCCTGGCCTTCACAACGAGACACACTCCATCTGGACAGCACACACACACACACACACACACACACACACACAGGTATATCACTACAAAGGTGGTTGATCAGCTGAAAAACAAATATTTTCTGATGAACTTTGTTTCTGTAGAACCTAATTTCTGCTCAAAGTTAAGTTTTACAGACTTTTTGTGTTTTGAAGTTTTAATCCAGTTCAACTACACATTCCACTTATTGCTAACCTTTCCCCTAAAAAAGGTTTTAGACGAACTGATTTCAGTTTCATTGAAAACTTTACAGGAAATATGTCATCCAAATTTTGTGTGTACTTGGAAAGCAGCACTCTTTGGTGCATTCAAGGAAAGCTTTTGTGAGGGCAATTCAAAGTTTTCTACTTTACCATAAATCCCACCTAAAGATTTGTCAGGATGTGTTTTGTTTGGCTGAAAGTCGCGACGTCAGTTTTTATTTTAAATGTCGTGTTTGCAAATCAGGAAAACTTGCGACTCTTATTTATACCAAAAAAAAAGAAGAATGGTTTACAGGAAACTCCTGAATCTAAAGTTCTCACAGTGGTCTTAAAGCTGCTACAGGATCTTCAAACTGCCGTGTGGCTCTCAGTGAAAGGGGGTCTGAGGCTGGACCAGCTCTGTGTAGAAAAGCCTGAGCAGGACAGGGAACTGGGGGCCGTCTCCTGCCGCCACACCCTCCTTGGGAACCGGGATGTTGATGAAGTTTTTTCCCTCCTATTGTTTCTCCTTTCTCCCCCATGTGCTGGCCTGAGCAGACAGCAGACGAGTGTGCCAGGCGGGCTGCTGCTGTCCGGACAGGACTGCCTGTTATCTTGTAGGAAATGGACAAGTCGTGAACCAGCAAACGCACAAGAAAGACGCTCTGGGTAGAGGTTAGGAAGTCCTGGAGGGGACTGATAAGTGATGATACCGACTCTTCCCAAACTTCAGGATCTGACTGAATTATTTAAGCAGTGACATCATGTTCAAGTAATCAGCTGCAGTTAGTAAGAACGCTGTTGTTGTTGAAGTGGTGAGTTCAAAACCAGCTGAAGCTCGTAAAGGTCGACTGAATACAAACATTTTCAGTTTGCACGTAACAATAATGGTTGACAAAGACATCACACAGCTGAAACCCTCCACACATAGTGCATGAAATGAACATAAAGGTAATATTTTCACCTTCTGCTTTCTTTCTCACAGCTTGAGCTTTGAACGGACCGAGTCAGTTACGTCATCTCTTTGATGGTAACAGCTGAAGAATAAGCTGAACCAGACCTGAATGTTTTATAAAGGTAGTGGATGGAAAGGGATATTAATCTGGATAATCTTTTTTTCAGAATGTCTTAAAGTTCTGCTAAAATCAGCTTCACTGTGGTACAGAAACCTGAGTGCAGACAACAGAACTTCCTGAACACTTACAGGATGGAAACAGAAAAAAACATGCTGAGCTACCAGTTTGCTGTAAAGACAAACATAGAATGAAGAAAATAACCAGAGAACAATGCAGCAACTCATGTCTCAGTATGTCTGGTAATGTAAAGGCAGCAGCTTAGTTAGCTTAGCTTAGCTTAGCATAAAGATTGGAAGCAGAGCTGAAAAAGCAGCCTCCACTGGCTGTGTCTAAATGTAACAAAAGCTCACCATGTAACATCTCACTGTTTCTCTTTCTGGACCCAAAATAAGAACTGAGATTTAAATTCTCTTGATCTATGCATTTATAATTTAGTTGTGACCAAATAGAGTCACGATGCTCCTTCAGCCGGTACTGGGAATATTTAATAGTTTGACATTTTTTTTATTTATTTGCATTTTCTTTCTTGCAACTAGTTAAACAAGAACATTCTAATGTCTCCCATCTCATTATAAAGCTACAGCCAGACGCTGTTTAGCTTAGCTTAGCATAAATGGATAAAATCCGTCTATCAGCACCTCCAATGCTGTAATATCTCATTTATTTGATCAAAAACGGTGCAAAGATTAAATTTATCTGGAAGTCATTGCTCCTAGCTAAGAAATAATCCCTCCAAAAACTACTGCCTGTTGTTTTTACAATTTAATTTTACCACAGAATTAAAAATATAAAAGATGTTACATGGTGAGCTTTTGTTACATTTAGACACAGCCAGTGGAGGCTGCTTTTTCAGCTCTGCTTCCAACCTTTATGCTAAGCTAAGCTAAGCTAAGCTAAGCTAACGAAGCTGCTGCCTTTACATTACCAGACATACTGAGACATGACAAATTAAATAAAAGCCAACATAAAGCGTCTTAATAACGCGTTATGATTGATTCTCCAACACTCTGGCAGGATGAACACTATTAAACAGACATTCTCATGTTTGGTGTTTCAATTATTTTCTTTTCTTTATTTTTCTTATATCTCACCAATGCATGAGCACCAGTTATTAACTGTGTGCTGTCAATCAGTCACTAGTGTCTTTCCCACAGATGCCACTTTAGTTCATGTTGAAGCACCAGCCACTTGATCAGTCTTTATGACTGAAGCTCCTGCCATCTGTGCCACAATCATCAACCTTCCTTCAGAGCCTCTTAGATCTTTTCCTTTTGCTACTTTCATCAACATTAAAATCAGCTGGACCTGCTCAGCATTTTCATAAATACATGGAGCATAACTGTCGCACACAGTTGATGAGTTTGTGTGTGGAAGCATCTGCATTTGTTGTGTTTCTCTTCTCAGTTATTCAACATTTTCCTTTAACATCTCACCTGTCTGTTTATGAGAGTAGTTTTGTTCTTTGCATCTCTCAGCAAGAACGTTAATGTCTATTTTCCAAAATGCAAAATGATTTCTTTAAAAGTTATTCAACAGCTAATGCATTTGCTACTTTAAAGACCGTGTGAACAGTCACCTTGTGCAGTCATGTGAATAAACTAAAGCTGCATCCAGACTTCTGGACTTCACTGCTGACTGTCTGTTTTCCACACGATCCGGAAAAATGAACAGAAATCCAGACCGCTTAAACAGAACTCAAGAAAGCACAACAAATTGCACTCCAGCCTGCACATGTCTGCGGCTCACCTGTGCTTGATAGCAGGGCGCTAAACAAACAGGCCCAGATGCTGGTTCACACGCACTAAAACATGCCGGGCTCTTTATTTTTAGAAAACACTGCTGACCGAGCTCAGACGCAGTTTTGAGGCTGTGTCACTCGTTTTTTGTTCACACGCCTCGAAAAATAAAAGCCTCCCCGTCTGCATCCACCTACTGCAGTGGTGAGAGAGCGGCAGGTGCATAATTAAAGAAAAACACTTTCCTCGCCTTTCAGACAGAGAGGGAGGTCAGGGGTGCACTTCATTATTCAGGCTCCTTCTGTCTCCGGACCAAGCTCTTGGTGTGTGTGTGTGTGTGTGTGTGTGTGTGTGTGTGTGTGTGTTTGGAGGGAGGGAGAGAGGGGGAGCATTGGGGAGTCCTCCACTGTGGGCTGATGGGAGGTGGAGGGGCAGATGTTTCAGCTCTGAGTCGTACTGTGCCATTAGGAACGATTAGGGCAGCGTTCTTCCAGTTTTTGTACAGAAACAGTTTAGAGAAAAGCAGCAGCAGCAGCACACAGAGAAAGTAAATAAGGAGGTATTCAGTGCAGGAATGGGATCTTTTTTTTTTCTGTAGACTTTAAGACACTACTAAAAAACAAGGTGTTCTACTTTGGCTCAGAGCTCTTCTTTCATTATCTGCATTCATGCACAATTTAAGCCGGAATTTCTTGATTTCCTCTTTGAAAGAAACAGATCTGGCCCCACTTGTAGGGTAATGAGGTGCACTCAGTGTTAGGAACACTTACATGTATTGCAGTCCAGCAATTCCCCAAATGATAAACATAAAGGAGCATCGTAAGATTTCTGACGATGACAACAATCTAGAAGATTTGTAAAAGTGTAATTTACACAGATTTTACATGGAGGGGTGTCAGGTGACAGTTTGTCTTTTATATGATATGTAGTTCACATCATTTACACATGAGATCAGCCCACAGGACAAAAAAAAAACTAGAAAGAAAGCTACACCAACACTGTAGGTTTATGTACTCACACAAAACATTGTGAAACCAGCAGTAGACGTGAAGGTCACTGAATAACCAGCACTTCACATCCAAGGCAATCAAGTTAGCAAGTTACATCTCTGTGGTAGAAACTGACATCAGGAGGGAACACGTAGAAAACTATTATTGATGAAATGAGCAAATCAAAATGCTAGACTTTGCATATCAAACATCATCTCATAAAACACAACACACCGGTGTCCACTCCAGATCTTAGGGAGATTCTGCTCACAGTCGCCTGTCCAGGGCTCTAAAAATCCTTTAAATCTTACAATCTAAAGACGCTCTTCAGCTAAATTGCACACAATTGTTACTCAGAGGGATCACAATCAGACAGCCTTAACCCCCGCTAAAATGGAATACATGATGAAACCACCCAAAAGTTTAGAAAGTAATTGAAATTATTTGAAATAGAAATAAAAGCATTACAAGTTTTGAGGTACTTTCTTGTACCAGCCTGTTTGAGCTGCACACATTATGTGTGCATGACACAAAATCAGTCATAATTGTGAGTATTTTCAAATTCTTGCAGTTGTTCAGTGCTTGAACAGCTCCTGACGCCTCCTCAACCGCTGCAGAATGAGCAGTGTTCATTAAGTGAATCTTAAAATGCAGAACTTTAACTTTTTTTTTTACGTTGGGATACAGAAAACTTGTTCCACCGCCGGCTACATGAGATGTGTGCGCACACCTGTTGCTGCACCACACTCTCTTTTCAAACAGACTACCACACATACCCTCTATTTTATTAGAGAATATTCCACCACCATCCCAAACCAGCGGACACATGCAGACTTTCTAGTCCCAGGTGCATGTATCTGAAATGAAAGCGTACTCACCGAGTGAAAGTAGCAGCCACGTGATCCTCAGAGTCGCTCTCATCCTGTTTCTGCTGGCTTCTTCTCCCAGATGGATTTATCCTTCATGCAGCGCCGCGCTCCAATCCTCCCTCACTTTGTATCAGGAGATGTTGCAGTGATGACAAACCCCAGGCTGTCACGCCTTTCTCCCTGAATTTGTATCTCAGAGTAAATGATCTCGCCCCACGTATTGTTATTTTTCCTTCTTCTTTTAAAACTGAAAGCCAAGAATGCTTTTGTTAGTCTGTGCTGCGTCTCTTTCTCTGTGCTGCCTCTGCAGAGTTGGGGATTTGGGGGAAGAGTGTTTCTGTGGTCTCCTTGGCTGCAGCGCTGTTCCTCAGTGTCTCTCTCTCTCTCCCTCTCTGTGCTGTATTGTGCTCAGTCAGTCCTCACTCTCCTGCAAAGTTGTTCAGCTGTTTGCAGACCAGGATCGCTGCCCTGCCTCCCTTATCATGAGAAAGCAGGGACAGACCCAACCCGGTCCAGCCCCACAGCTCTGGACTCACTGCTGCCCGGGACACTTTGAATAACAAAGGAAGCCGTGAGACAATGTGTTCCCCTGCTTTTGATTCATTCCTAAAATGGTCCATGACTCAAGGACGCGGGGTGAAGTCACATCAGCGCTGATGTGGTTTGATCAGGGGAAAAGCCTGCTTACATTCACAAAGTCAGCGTGTGTTCACTTCACGTCCTTCTACTGTTCAGCACTTTGCTGAAATACAGGCTGAGGTGCAGCTTGAGCTGTTGGACAGACCAGTAACCTAAATGTTAGATCTAGAACTGTTCCAATGGCATTTTGTTAGGTAGCAGCTACAGATTTGCCCCCATTGTTGCAGCCACTTCACCAGCTCAGTTTAAACTCACCTTTTATTTCTCTAAAAGTTAACTGACTCGTTGAAAAACCCACAAACATTTACTGTTGCTGCTCTGAAGGCATTTCCAGAAGTCACACCATCTGGATGAAAAAGTCCTCTGTCCACTGAACGTTAGGAGTTTTTAAAAATAAATGAAAGCATGTCCATGTTGCGTTCTTTACATGCTGGAGGACAAATCATGATGGATGTAAGCAGTCAACGTTGAGCATTTCCACCCAAAACTGCGGCGTACTGACGACAGTCTCTAAAACACAGCTTCAGATTTCCAGGGTTTTATGCGTAACAAACCGAAGGAACCAATCCTGTCAACCTGCAGGGTGACAGCTTTCTATATTTTGTATGGGGTGTAGAGCAGTTTTACAGTGTTCAAGCAGAGTCGTGGCTGAGCTGGTGTGCTCAAGCTGCAGTGAGGGGGAAGGTGAAAGAGGCAGAGACTCCATAGAGCTGCATGTTCTAAAGCAGGGATGTCCAATCCTGGTCCTTGAGGGCCACAGTCCTGCATGTTTAGATGTTTCCTTCTTCCAACACACCTGATTTAAATGATCAGCTCATCATCAAGCTCTGCAGAAGCCTGATAACGATCCTGACCATGTGAATCACGTGTGTTGGAAGAAGGAAACATCTAAAACATGCAGGACTGTGACCCTCCAGGACCGGGATTGGACACCCCTGCTTTAAAGGAAGCAACAACGCAGAGTTACATCTAAGTAAGACAGGATTGCATTGTTTTTATGGAAAAAACTAAAGTTGTACACAAACATGAGATTTAGGTGTTAAATGAGGTTTTTTAGTTATCGTGCAAAATCCAACAAAAGTCAACAGAGAATTCAATAGTGTTCATTCTCAGCCAGTCCACTGTTCATGGAACGCATCGTCAGAGCAGACTCCAGTGAATTAGGAAGTGACATAAGACGTATATTCAAGGCTGTACACGTCATGCGTTTGTATGCATGCAAAGGTCCAACCACAACTCAAGTGATGGAAATCTTGTGACTTACCAAAGTCTGCCAGAGTCCAAAATTTGTGTCCCGCTGGCAGCTATGCAAAAAGGACTGTAGTGCATATACAGTATAATATTTGTTTTATTTTGATTTCTTTTTTTTTTTTAGATAAAAAACAATTTGAAATGAAATGGCCACTCTGAATGTGCAGTAGGGACTAGAGTCCAACCGACACTGGATTTTAAATAAAATAAGATAAAACTTCATAAATCCTGAAGGAAACTCATGGTGCTGATATCAATTTTAGGGACCAATTATGATCTCAATTTTCTGACTAATATTGTCTACATATATATAAACATGTTGTGTGTCTGAGTTATATTGAAAAATAAAAATGAGGAGGCCATTGTTTCGTTATTTTTCAAGCAATTTTTGTCACAAACTAGTTTGCAACCTCAGCTTCAAACACACTGTGACTCCACACCATGACTGGTCTGCTGTTGCTCTGCTACATGTGCTGCAGACAGTTTTAAGAGCATTTTAAACAACAGTTGGAGTCACTCTGCTGAACAAACTATGTGATGACAGTATTTCTGCTTTTTCTATATTATGTTCTGTAAAAAGCAATATATCTGTGATGGGCTAGAATAACATCAGCCAATATATCCGTTAGGCTCTACGAGAGACTCTAATAACTGGGGTTTTGCTGCAGTAGAGGTTTGGCAAGTGGTTTGGTTGTGTGAAAGGGCACAGATTTATTTCCCATTGCTGTAGCAGTCCCTGTACCAGCTGCTGCTCAAAGTCCTTCATGGATCCTGTGAGTGTCTCAGGAGGAGGCAGTGTGCTGTAACTGGACTGACTTGATGGACCGTCTTCCAAAACGTTCTTCCACTGTCACAGTCAGTGAGAACATTGTGGTGAATGTTACCTGACTGAGCATGAAATGGTGATTTCATTGATTGAATTTCCCTTCTGGGATAAATAAAGTATTTTTCATTTCATTCATTTCATTTCATTGCGTCGGTGCAGCAGGTTGGAATTACTCTATGTTCTGAGATTAAATTCCTTTTACACGGGTTCATTTAGGGATGTAGAACTGAGACTTGAGCAAAGATGGTCTAAGAGACTCAAGACCTTCAGTGGGCTCACATTCAGAATCAGACTCTATCACCTGACCATTCACATCAGGCACACATAAAGACAACAGTTCTGTTTTTCCATGATGAGGATGGTTTTCAATATTCCAGTTCCTAAGATCATCATTTCTGCACTCATGATAGAAACATTAACTAACACATCCCACTTGTGTCTTTTTTTTATGTGCTGCTAGTGATGAATATTTATTGGTTTCTTTTTAGCCTACAATGACAGATTCATTGGCCCAGCAGGAGTTGTGTTTGATTTCTGGATTAAAGTCAGGCAGTTGGCCGGATTGTTACCCTGCAGGAACCACTGAGTTGACTCAGTCGCTTGTCGCCACGACGACGGATATTCAGAAACTTCCCAGGAATGGCTTTCAGGTCACTTCTACTATGCCTCCATTCATTTGACGCCAATTCTCTCTTGACTGACAGTGCACAACTGGGTCTAATCCAGATCCTTCTCTGAATGCAAAAAGCAACAACTTTGAACAAGTCCACGTTTTTTGAGGAGACTTTGTAATCTAAATGCCATTGTGCTTTTGGGAGCTCCGGCGGCTGTTGATGGGAAGTCTACGGGAAAAACATAGACAGGAGAGATAAGATCAGGGGTGTGGAGCTTTGGTGGGTGTTTCCTGCCACTGGAACAGTTCGGAGTCATTAATAAAAAAGCTTTGGAGACTGAGCTTCAAAGAAACAATCACCATGTCAGGAGTCACGCTAGGCCTGCAGATCTGGAGAAGTTACACTCAGTGATCCCAGGATTAGAGTGTAATTGTGTGCTTACATGTGCATGGGGATCATTCATGGTGGTGCTGTGGGTGTGGAGGTCTGCCCCAGTGTTACCATTAGCCGGTGTTCATTCAGTGGGATCTGCCTGATTATAGGTGCATGTGTATTTAGGCCCCGTGTAGCTAATGGGTCAGTGTGGGATTACTCAGGCTCAGTTAACTCATAGGGTTGTGAGTCTTTTCGGCATTCCAGTGGCTAATGTTACAATGACTAGTGACAGACCTGCATTTTGAATGAAACAGATAAGATCAACATTTTTAAAGGTAAATCAAATAAGTATGGGTATGTGGAAGTAATTGCTTCAAGTGACAAACGAGCCCCAAACTCGATGAGGGCTGTGATGTTCTTGTCTGAGAGTAACCACGAATAACTAACACTGATGCTTCATGAATAATAGCTGTTTGAGACTGCAGCGGTAATGCATATACAATTTTAAAACGCCCCAAAGCATATGAATACTGATGAGGATGCTGATTACCATGGTAACAGTCAGGGCTTCAACCTAACCTAGCAATTATAATAAATTATTAAATTAATAAATTAGCAATTTCCCTGAGGTCTTGCACCGAAGGGATCAATAAAGTTTTATTCTAATTCTACGCTAACCTATTTTAATTAAAGTAATCCAGTGAAATGTTCCCTGTAAGTTTTATTTTAACACTGGATATGCAGCGGTTTTGTACGATGAAGCTGGTGGAGCTCTTTACTCCATAGCAGTCATGTTGTCAGAATGGTATTGAAGTTCAGAATCAGAGTAACAAGAGGACTGAACTGACTGACTTCATACCTCTGATGATTTGTTTGGACAATCAGTGGTTTTTAGAGCTAACATGTGTAAATGCCTCCTAACACATATACGTGTAGGCAAATATACTGTATCTGGTTCAGCTCAAACTCAAAACGTGAACAAGATTAACTTCTCAGGATTATAAAGAATATTCTGGTAATGACCGAAAGAACGCGATCGCGGATACAAGCGGCTGAAATGAGTTTCCTCTGCAGGGTGGCTGGACGCTCCCTTAGAGATAGTGTGAGGAGGTCAGTCACGCAGGAGGAGCTCGGAGTAGAGCCGCTGCTCCTCCACGTCGAAAGGAGTCAGTTGAGGTGGTTCGGGTATCTTTCCCGGATGCCTCCTGGACGCCTCCCTGGGGAGGTGTACCGGGCGCGTCCCACCGGGAGGAGACCTCGGGGACGACCGAGGACACGCTGGAGGGACTATGTCTCCTAACTGGCCTGGGAACACCTAGGGGTCCCCCCAGAAGAGCTGGGGAAGGTGTGTGCGGATCAGGAAGTCTGGGCGGCTTTGCTAAGGCTGATGCCTCCGCGACCCGACTCCGGATAAGTGGGAGAAGATGGATGGATGGATGTTTGGAAATACATGTGCATGATGTGATTCATTTAGAAAATCATGTGCTTGATTCATTAAAGCTCCTCTTTTATATTTTATAAACTTCCAGAGAAGTAAAT